CACAGATTTAGAAATTCCATTGCCTTCCTCAAAGAAATGATCCCTGGGAAATGAAACTAAACGACGCAGAGAGGCAAGCAGAAATGTTATATTTTTATGGCATTAAAAAAACAAAGACAGCATCTTTTAGTTTCACCTGGGCTTTGGGCATGGAAATGTTACTGCTGCTTCCTCTTCTCATTTTAGAGACTAATTTTTTTGTAATTAATAGGAACCTTTAATAATGAGGAGACTCTTCTTTGGTAGTTTTATATCCATGCATGGTAACACAGAACAGAACTAAACTGTGGCAAGAAACAAGCCTGGCTTGCAATCTTAGGCTTGATCTGCCAGTTAGTGCATTTACTACTCTGTGACCTTGAGTAAGTCAGTTATTCTTCCCTAAATTTTGTTTTCTTTTGTGAAACAGAGATAATAGTACACATCCTCTAAAGCTGTGTAGGGAGTTAAGTAAAAGGCCATATGGCAATACTTGAATGTAGTAGATGTTCTATAAGAAGAAGATATAATAAAAATAAGGATAATAACAATTTGTTTTGAACTAGACAAATTAGAATAGAGATCAGACATGTGCATAGATCCATTTTGTATTCCTAAAGTACCTTTATGCTTCTTAAGGTCTCACAGCAGCTTCTTTCAGGAAATAGGTTTCTTTCTTATCTGAAAATTATGTTTGAAAGAACTTGAGGCTTACTCAGCAAAGATGGACAATTTTTCCAGAACCACATAGCTAGTGTAGCAGTTCTGGGACTTGAATTAGGGCAGAGTACAGCTGCTCTTTCTGTCTAACCATTTCATGAGGTCAATGATTTCTCTAGGACCATAGGTAGTAAATTACACATTGTAAATACTCACACCAAGTGGAAAAAATAAAGACCACAAACAGGTTCTAGCTAGCTGTAATTCATATTTTGTCACCAATTACTATGAAAAAAATTTCAATAACTTCTGCTTTTTTAGATTTAGGATTGTGAATAAGGTATTGAGAATATATATCAGAATGCATACGATGTCTCAAATATGCAAGAATAGAAATTATGCTTGAACTATGTTTTAAGCCTTGATATGTCTTAATTTGATTACTTATGAATTATACCACCAAAACAAAGAGAAATTGGAATCCATGTATCCTGGATTGAAATAAGAGAAAATGAAACTAGCATCAAAAAGAAAATCTCTCAGGCTTGAATTCCATGGGTTTCCTCCTGTCAATGAGCAGGACCAGCCTTTGCCACATTCAATGGACTGTCCTTCCAGAAGCTGTCCCTAGATCCACCAATGGAGAGGTCAGCTGGTGAGCAGGCCTGTCACCAGTTTTCTTCTAGCCCTCTCCTCCTTTCTTACAAAGGACTGTTTAAAGCACAAATCCTGATCTCATGGTTAGACCCATTTTTAGATGCTAAAATAAAGAAAATTAGGGGTTCTTGGATTGAGTCTTTTTCTGTCATGCTTACCAAATTGGAAGGATGCCACAGCTTTTGTATGAGAGTATCTTGGCTGTATTTAGTCACAGGAAAACTTCCCAGGGAGGCTCAGGTTAGCTTTTTTAATATAGTGACAATGTGCAAATGGTTGCACTTGAGTAACACATGAAATTTTTCCATTGAGATGCTTTGGCTCAGTCCATATCTGAGGAGCAAATAACATTACCTTTCTAGTCAAGGTAAAGGTTTTATACTAAATAGTCTTATCATTTCCTCTGTCAGTCATCTTTTTTCCTCTATATTTCCCTTCATCTTTCCTTGAGAACCTGTCCTCATACTCTGAAAGGAGTCCATGCCGTGATGTGGATATGTGACCTGCCTTAATAACAGATAGCTGGATTAAGAGTGGTCCCTACTCAGACTTAGTCAAGCAGGTGCTCTCTCCTGGGGATTGCAATTAGGGCTTCTGAGATGCTACTGAGTGTTGAGCATTTAAAGAAAAAAATAAAGTCAGCAAGGAGGACATTGTGTTTGGCTCCTGTGCCAAGAGGCAGAAAGAACTGGTCAGCAAACAGAAATAAAAAGAGAGAATGCAGATGAATGGCCACTTGCAGAAGTAGAGACAAGAAAACAGTTTATTTAAGAGGAACCAAGAGAGAAAACTTGGTTTTGCTTTCTCTTACTGTTGCTAGTATTCTGTAGACATTCATTGTATTTTCTCTCTCTCTCTTTTTGTTCATAGAAGTTTTTGGGTGTGCTTGCCAGAGAGAGAGAGAGAGAGAGAGAGCGAGAAAGAGAAACAAAGATAGTGAGAGGGACAGTGAGAAATCACCTTCCAGTGGGACTGGCCATGTTGCAGTCCCTTCTTCATTCTTCTCTCACGATCTTGAGCATACATGAACACACGCCCAGCACAAGTTTCAAGCTGTTGGGTCTAGGACTTGAACTGTGGTCCGCCATATGTGAGTTCAGTAATGTAACCACTATGCCATCTACTGGCCCCATCTTTTTAATTTCAACTTATGGTCAGATGGCCCTGTACCTTGTTGATAAATATAACCCTTCTCGTTTCCATTTGCATACATATGTATATATACACGTGTGTGTGTGTGTGTGTGTGTGTAATTGGAGTGGCTTTTGTTACTTGTAACCGAGGGATCGCAATACATTTTCATATTATAATAATCTTACCTGTGATGGTCAGTGACATTGTCAAGATGGCACCTTTGTTTCAAGAGTAAAGCTCATGATCCTGGGATAGAACCAAGAAGCAGAACTTCTATGATCTAGTGTCTTATCATCATGCTCATTGATTTATCTGTCACCAATGCTTCAACACATACACGTGCTTTTGTTCTGTTTTCATTCTATGCATCAGACTAAAATAGATTCTATAATTGATATCCCCCTCAGAGGAGCATGACTTTCCATCTGGAATGGATTTTCAAAAATTCTTACTGGGAGCCCAGAGAGTTGGAATGGCTCCAAGATTCTTCATCCCACCATTGGCCAGGCTCTCTTTTTTCCTTTTCTGAAAGGTGTGAATTTGACCTTTTCATTGGTCACCAAAGTTGCCATATTCAGCTACTTGCGACTGAGACACAAAGGGCTTTGAGGGAGAACAGCCCACAGATTTCTATTTGAGGAATGCCAAATGGCTTTCCAGGGCCCAGCTGGTACTGCTATCTCTTGCACAGTGCCTGAAATGTGCACAGCTATTTTGGGTGAGTTATAATATTATTGCTCACAACACAGTCTAATATTAAAAACAAAATTAACAATGCCCCTGGGGAGGGCAGAAAACTCTCAGTCCTGCTAGTTATGTGACTTGGGGGAAAACAAACTTTGGTGGTTCAGTTTCCTCATCTGTAAGATAGTCATAATAAAAGTATATACTTCATAGGGGTTGTTATGGTTTGGTTAAAGGAGTTACTATTTGTAAAGCCCCTAGAACAATGCCTGGCACATAGTGTCAATCCTGTGTTTGGCGAGAAAATAGGCATGTTTGGTAAGTAGCAATGGCACTATCATACCTGAATACAGATCGTACCTGGAAAGTAAAGACTGGCTCATTTCCCTTTGCCTTCTCCAGCTCCAGCCTGCAGTAGAAGTGCATGAATGTTAGGTGGCTGCCAGCCTGACTGTAGAGTTTAGCATGTGACCGGAGAACGTAATCTTCTCTTTGCTTCACCTTTCTCCTTTCTTTGTGCCAGAGTTCTGATTCTAGGATTGGTTACTGGCTGCCCTAGACCATCATTTAGCTGTTTTAAACCTCACCTCCTATAGCCGAAAAAATGAAGCCATTAGTACTCCCTCGTAAAGATAAATAAGATGGCATATGTGAAAGCCAGTGGTCAGTTAGGGCTTGTGGCTCTCTATTGTTCAGTGTTTTTCTTGGGGGCCCTTTGATGCCTGTCATTGTCTGCTGAGCTGCCCCCATGAGCTGTGCTCAGGCAAGGCCCTATGGGAATAGAAGTCTTATGAGAGACTTGGGGAGACATGGGGGTTATGGGTCTTTGGAAAATGATCATTTTTGGGTTATCTCAAGGAACTGTTGGTTAAACCATGGCTAGAGACTACGAGGATACTGTTTTTTTGTTGTTGTCGTCATCAGGTTTATTTAGTTATAATTCATTTACAGTCAAATTCACCTATTTTATTGTAGATTTCTAAGAGTTTGGTGAACGGATGCAGTCATGTAACCACCACACAGGACAGAGAAAGTGTCCATCCCCCTTAAAAGTTCCCTTATGCCCATTTATGGACAACCTCACTTACCACCCTAGCTCTGGCAACCACTGATTTGCTTTTGTCTCCTCTGGATTGGCCTTTTACAGAATGTCAGTAAAGCTTCTCTGACCTTAGAACTGGGTCAGGTGATAATCTCTTTCAGTATCCTGCAGTCCTTATTAAAATTATAATTATATTCTATAAGCACTTGATTAAAAAACTTTTAGACATCCATTTCTTCTGGCAGACTTCAGCAAGTATGTCTAGAAAGGAATTGTCTAGCCAGTTCATTTTTGCATCCTCAGCAGTACCATCAAGTAGATGCTCAACAACTATCGTTTAATGAACAAATGAATGAATGAATCAATCAATAACTATAAGAAGGGTGCTCTGGGTATCTACTGACTTAGCAAAAGCTATTTTATATTCAGTGGTGTAAAAAAATACCATGTTCTACAGGACCCAGAGATCATATTATTCAAACATTCCTGAAGAGTATAAACTTTTGGAGTTGTAATTGGTCTAAAGCTTTTAGACAACCATTTCTTCTGGCAGACTTCAGCAAGTATGTCTAGAAAGGAATTGTCTAGCCACTTCATTTTTGCATCCTCAGCAGTACCATCAAGTAGATGCTCAACAACTATCATTTAATGAACAAATGAATGAATGAATCAATCAATAACTATAAGAAGGGTGCTCTGGGTATCTACTGACTTAGCAAAAGCTATTTTATATTCAGTGGTGTAAAAAAATACCATGTTCTACAGGACCCAGAGATCATATTATTCAAACATTCCTGAGGAGTGTGTGTAAACTTTTGGAGTTGTAATTGGTCTAAATATTAGCAATCAAAACTATTCTAGACAATCCCAGATGTATGTTCAGTGTGTCCAGTCAATTATAGATGGAAAAGTATTTTGCTGATGTTTTATCTAACTACACATTAAAAACTATTTCATAATTTTTACACTCCATATATTTTGTAGCAGATCTGACAAGATGGTGATGCTTAAGAGCAAGATCATGAAATCCTCAAAATCGAGCTTATTTTCCATGTGCTCATCGAGTTCAGAAAGGATATCTCTGTATTTTGGCTTGGTTTCTTGTCCCTGTGAAAATCAAGGAGAAAAAGTTAAAGCAAAATTTACTGTGTAAATGTTGGGTTTATAGCAAACATGCAATAATAGACATTATTAATAATATTAGCATGTCAAATTGCCAGCAGTAGTCTTCTCAGTCAACCATTTTTTTTTTTTAAATAGAGGTTTTTGCTATAGGGTGCATGCTGTTGCTGGAGAGATAGACAGAGATGGAGAGAAAGAAAGTGAGAAATCCCCCCCCCCCCGCCCCGGGAAGATGGCCATGTGACAATCCCTTAAGACACCAGATCTGGTACTCATCTGAGGTCTGCCATGTGGGAATCCAGTGACATAACCACTGCACCATCTGCTGGCCTCCGACCACTGTCTTAAATATTTTAATGGGTTATCTCATGTAATTCTCACAGTGACCTTAGTGAACAGACACTGTTATTCCCATTCTACAGATGCAGAGTAGAGACTAGTGAGAATTAAGTAACTTGGCCCATGGTAGGTAGATTTTGGTATGGAACCATGATTTATGGTCTTATCTACCCATACTCACTCACTCACTCCTTCCTTCCTTCTTTCCTTCCTTCCTCTCTCTCTCTCTCTCTTTCTCTCTTTCAAATGTTTTTGCCATAGAACATGTCCACAAGAGAGAGAGAGAGAAAGAGAGAAAAGTGAGAAGTCACTCCCTGGGGGGATGGCCGCACCATAATCCCTTCTCCGTTCTCCTCCTGGGATCTTGGTCATGCATACGCATATGCCTGGTGTGATTTTCAAGCTGCCCAGTCCAGGACTTGAAGTGCGTCAGCCATGTGTTAGTCCAGTGCCTTAACCACCATGTCATCTGCTGTCCCCAAGGAGCCCGTACTCTTAACATTTCACCCATGTTCTTAACTTTCTTTTTTTTCCAATATGGATATTGTCATGTTTTCAGATTTTCAAAATTTACTACCTTTGTTATGAGAAGTGTTTACTATATGTTCACCTAAACAATAAGATTATCCAGAAATATAGAGTAACATATGTTAAAAAATGCACTTTGAAAGATTGTTCAGCATTTTGTGTTATCTAAATCAAAGCCAAGTTTGTAATCCTTATAAATGGTCAGACTGAAGGGACACATCTGAATACTATATAGAGAAACTTTTCAGTTTCAAACCACAGCTTGTCTAATATCTTGCCCAGTGACATTAACACTAAGGCTGTTTGATTCACTATATACTTAATTGTGTTTGCATTTAGTTCAACCCCAGATGCTCACCCACGCTGGCTGTAAGGAACTATGACAGGGAGACTGAGGCACTTTTACAATGATGGCACTGTGCTCTTCCAGGTATAGACACGTTCTTGTTTTTCTAGTCTGGCTCTCCTCATGAGGTTACCCTATCAATGAGGGTGATAGAAGCTCCCCAAGAGAGCTGAGTGCTATTTGGGAAGAGTCAGATTCCAAGACAGAGATGTGACTACTTTATTAGAAGAACAACACACTGTGCACTCAAAGGTCACTGTTCACACACATGCTTGTATATTTGTAAGCACAGAGCTTGCAGGGATTATGGTATGGCCATCCCCCCAGGGACTGATTTCTCATTTCTCTTTCTCATAAGCACACATGCTCTATGGAAAAAAAAACTTAAAAAAAAAAAAAAAAAAAAGAGGGTATGGGCTCTAAAATCGGGTTGATGAGACTATAAATCATGGTTTCATACCAAAATATACCTACCATGGGCCAAGTTACTTGAGTTACTCCTCTTCTCGAGAGGAGGACCAGCTATCTGTTTTTAAATGTTCTTAGCAATGCCTTAAGGTGCTAGTTTTATTATATCTAACTGGTGATAGAGTATTAAAATACCAAAAATAATGTTTAGATTTATAGGAGAGGAGATAGATGTTCCCCCTTAAAGCTCAGGCATCAGCCTAAAGGTCCAGCTCAGTTTACCTAAAAACTGCACTTGCAGGTTTGGGAGAAAGCCCCGTGAGGAAGTAAGTGGGCTGTGATCCTCTTGCCACTGACCCACATGTATGTACTTGCCCCAAAACACCTCACAGAGAGCGGTGTTGGGCCAAAGCTGTATTCTGACATCACTCTGCATGTTTGCCAAGTGAAGTTCAGCTATCACCATTGATCTGAGAATGTCCTAGGGTGAGCTGTCCCCTTGAGTTGCTTGAGATATGGTCGTGCTTCCTGATGCCTACTTTGAGCTGTGAGTAGGATTATATTGAAGCTTGGATGTGTCTGCTACTAGAGAGATCCAGAAGTTGGCTGCCTTTCTCTGGTTTAGTATGGACTGAGGGATAGAGACTGAAAGCATCTTTCCCAATGACTTGGTTTTAATGTTTTTCCTCTGGTGTTCTCTCAGAGGTGATAACGTAGATCCAGATGATGCATTCATGAGGCCCTCATTTTCATACTTGCTAAAAGTTCACTTGGGATTTTTCAGGTAAAAAAAGGCCCCATACCTCCAGAAGCCCCTTCTCTCTGAAATATGCCATTGTTTTTGGCCTGTGACACAGGAGATGGCATAGGATTGATTCGTATGCCTTTTTAAAAATTTATTTATTTGGAGAGGTTTTTGTTATAGGGCACATGTGCTCACCAGAAAGACAGATATACAGAGAGACAGAGAGCAAGAAATTGCCCCCCAGGAGGCTGTCCATGCTGCAGTCCCTTCTCCTCCATTCTCTTCTTGGGATCTTGGGCACATATGCACACATGCCTGGCCTGAGTTTAAGCCACTGGATCTGGGACTCCAACCACGGTCGACTACATGGGAGTCCAGCGACAGCCATTACACCAACTGCTGGTTCCATCTGCCTTGTTAAAAAGACTTTCCACACCTTTTCTCTGTTACTAATTTTGCCTATTCGGCCTGAAGGACAGATTTTCTTTAAAAATATTTTATTTTAAAAATAACACACATTTAATAAAGTTTAGGGGAAAAATGCTTAAGAAGAAGAATATAAACATGGCTCTTTACCCCATTACCCAAAGATGCCTAATTACTACTAATATTTCTTTCCAGTAATTTTTCTGTGAATTATACCATACTCTCTCCCTTTCTCACACACACACTCTTCTGAAATAATTGTAGAATTACTGGAAGTTGTACCCGTGACCCATCTTCCCCCAGTGAATGATGTCTATATTAGTGTAGTACACAGAACCATACGTACGTATGTGTGTATACGTACCCTTTAGGTCAGTGGTATTTATATGTTGCTAACTCTTTTTTTTTCAAATAATTATTTTATTTAACTTTATTTATTTTAATTTTGACCAGAGTGAAAGAGGGGGAGAGAAAGAAAGAGGGGAAAGTGAGAAAGCAGGCCACCAGGGCTAGGACTCGAACAATGGTCAGCCATGTGGGAGCCCAGCGCCTTAACCACCATGCCATCTGCCGGTCTTTGCTAACTCTTATTTCTATATTTCAAGCACAGATCTCCATTTTGCCTTCTTAAGTCACATATCTTGTTGCTGAGTTTCTCCATTTGAATGTTTCATGGACATCTTAAAATTGACACATTCTAAGAAAACTCACACCTCTTCATTTCCACACCCCCTCAGATCTGTTTGTTTCCCAGTCTTTCTTTTCTCTGAGAATGGGACCACCACCCATTCCTTCCATAAATCAGAAGTGGGGGTGTCATTATTTAGTCCCCTTTCTCCTTCAACTCTCATGTTCAACTGGTTTTCAGGCCCCATTCATTCTGCCTTGTAAATATCTCTGTCATTTGTCTGTTTCACTCCATTTTCACTACTCCAGTCCCAGCCATCATCATCTTTGGATGGCTTCCCGAAGTTATTCCCTTACTTGTCCCGCCGCCACCTCCACCCCAATCTGTTCTCTGTGCTGCAGCTGGTATAATTTCTTTACACCTGGACTTAGAAACTATTCTTGGCTTCCTCCTTCCCCTAGGGTGTGCCTCTGAAAGTTTTGGCTTCTCTCAAACTCCTTTGCTTCTTCTCCCATCAGGGCCTACTTCCTACCCCTGCTTCTCACCAACTGCTTACTGACCTTCTAGGACTTTGACCTGCCTTAGGGCCTTTGCATAGGATGTTCCCTCTGCTTGGAAGGCTATCATTCTCATTGCCCTTGCCTTGCTAACTCCTATTAATTCTCCAGATCTTAGCTATACCTTAATTTTCCAGGAGCCCTTCTTTTACCACCCACCCCAAGATGGTCTCTTTGTTTTTGTCTCTCATTGTATTCTTACTCTTTCACACCTTTTGAATATTTCTAATGGTTTTTTTTAGCTTCTTTTTTACTCTGTCGAATTTTTAGCTTGTTCATTGTTTTAACCTCAGTACCTAGCTTATTGCCTCATATTCAGTAGATGCTCAATAAATATTTGCTGAATGAAACAACATGATAGAGGCTTTGAGCTAGAGTTGTTGGTCTTTGGGCCAGATATTATGGTATGACCCCTATTTCTCCATGCATGTTAACTCTCTTACCTCTGTGAAATTCCTAAATTGGGGTTGGCTGCCTTTCTCTGGTTTAGTATGGACTGAGGGATAGAGACTGAAAGCATCTTTCCCAATGACTTGGTTTTAATGTTTTTCCTCTGGTGTTCTCTCAGAGGTGATAACGTAGATCCAGATGATGCATTCATGAGGCCCTCATTTTCATACTTGCTAAAAGTTCACTTGGGATTTTTCAGGTAAAAAAAGGCCCCATACCTCCAGAAGCCCCTTCTCTCTGAAATATGCCATTGTTTTTGGCCTGTGACACAGGAGATGGCATAGGATTGATTCGTATGCCTTTTTAAAAATTTATTTATTTGGAGAGGTTTTTGTTATAGGGCACATGTGCTCACCAGAAAGACAGATATACAGAGAGACAGAGAGCAAGAAATTGCCCCCCAGGAGGCTGTCCATGCTGCAGTCCCTTCTCCTCCATTCTCTTCTTGGGATCTTGGGCACATATGCACACATGCCCGGCCTGAGTTTAAGCCACTGGATCTGGGACTCCAACCACGGTCGACTACATGGGAGTCCAGCGACAGCCATTACACCAACT